CGTGCGGGCCCCGGGCGGTTACGGCGGAGGCCAGGCTTGCGAGAGTTTTTTCGTATTAAACGATCGTGTGTTGTGTCTGTTTTCTTTCTTTTACGGGGCACGGGACTGGCGTAATTCGCCGCAATAAAACCCCCGCAGCATCGCCACGTAAGCGGGAAAGATGAACGCGAAGTACACGACGTTGCCCGCCGCGCTGAGAGCAAAGAGCGTCGTCCCCGCGCCGGCGCTCCTGAGTCTCCGCGACGAGGTGAGAATCACAGCGTTGAGAGTGTTGTTGTCAGCGTTGACGACGGGCACGTAGGTGCGCTGGTCGTATGCGGATACGTAGGTGCGCTGTGCCGCGCCGCCCTGCACGTCGAACACCGTGTCCACAAGGCAGAGGCCGAAGCCGAATCCCACCGCAAGGGTGCAGCAGAGGAGCCTTGCATGAGAGTGGCCCGTCCGTGGACGCAGCTAGGACACCATTTTCATATTTTCACCAAAATTCTCTCTTGACGCTCTACTGCACCTCCTCCCAACTTGATATGCGCGTGCAACAGTAAATGCCCCGCCTTCTGTGGACGAGGTGCGTCGAGTAAACGATCGCTCGCTAGACATTCGAAAGGTCGGTGTCTTGACGCTGGTCTGCAAGCTGGTCAACGCGTTTCTTGCATCGAACAAAGCCACAAAGCGACATCAATGCCCTTGGCGCCAAGTAGATCAGCATTGGGAGGATGCAAAGGCCAAAAAAGGACCAACCCAAGGTGTAAGGCCAGTCGACGTTTCCATCACCGTCAATGCGATACGCGTAGAAAGCAAACGCCATTGAGTATGATGGGGAGTGTCGTCAATCGACCTGTGAGGCGAGGGCGCATTTCTCCTGTCTCCTGAGCTAGTGGTGGGTGGGGGTTGTCTCACAAGGTGGCCCTGTGGTATACCGGTCCTTCGACAGGCGGCAGAAGCAGTGGCGGAGGCGGCGCTGCGACACACGCAAGGAGGCGGCGGGGAAGGGGAGCAAGAGGGGTGGTGGAATGAGAGATGCGCGCGGTCACGGCGGGCGCGGGGGGTTCGTGGGGAGCAGCGCGCGGGGGGCGACGGGCGTTTAGGGCGGGGAGGCTGCACAGCGGCGGCGGCGGCGGCGAGACAGGACACGAGAAGGGGTGGAGAGCGGCGCAATGTGTGTGCGGCTCGCGACGCGGGCGTGGGAGAGAGGGCGTCTGCGCATCATCAGTGACCGACAGGGGCTTGGCTCGGCGTCGCGACGACACCATAGGCGCCGGAGTGTGGTGGAGAGACAAACGGCAGGAGCGACGACGCGCACACACACACCGTGGACAAGCGGCGAGAGAGTGAGGTGTGCGAGAGCGTGTGAGAGCTCGACGAGTTCGACGAAAGGAGGGAGGCGCTTTTGCCGAAGCGGGGTGTGGTGGGGGCGCAGCGCTCCTGAGAAGAAGAGGCGAGTGCGAAAGGCGATCAAGTCAAAGGTGGCACGCCCTCGACAGCGTGACATCTTTTGAAAAGAGGCGGAGGGCGTCTCTGAAAAGATCGCATATCCCGGGGTCGCCGCGACTGGAACTGCCGCCCCCTATGTGTGACCGACCGGTGGTTACTCGAGTCATATTTCTCACTACTACGTACCTTAAGGTACACTATTAGTACCTCCCGACCGCGTCGAACTCATCGACGCGGGCTCTCTCGGCTACGGGACTGGCACCAGCTTCGGCTGAGAGAAAAACGACCGTTTATCCCACGCCTAACTAACTCTCAGGGGCAGTAGGTGGGCGAGCTTCAGGCAAGCTCATCTCGAATGACATGGCGTCGCTACGCGCGGTCTTCCGCGGGGGGAGAACTTCTGATGCCAAAACAACTCTAACATGCGTGATCTATTAGAAGTGTCCCCAGCTATGGGCGTGTCTCCCTCTCTCACAAAAACGCAGACAGCTCCTCGCGTACTTTTTACTAGCATGGAGGGAGAGGGAGGTGGGGGGGAGGGGGGGGAGTGTGAGCTGTGAGGGGTACGGGGGCGAGGGCATAGAGGGGGAGAGGAAGAGCAAGGGCGAGAGGGGGCAGGGGACGGGTCGATGGCATACTAGGGGGGCCAGGTTGGTGGGCGGTGATCGCCGCATAGTACCGTCCTATGGCGGCGAGTATCGCTACGCCAGGGAGGACAAGGACGTCGACGTGCAGCTGCTGCTGTTCGAGTCGTTCGGTGGGTTCCCGGGAAGGGGGTCGGCGAGATCCTCTGGAAGGCGGCGAACGTGCTGCAGAACAAGCTGACGCGGGCCCAGTACCTCGATGAGGTGACTTGGACCACCAAGAGCTGGCTGGGGCTGCGGAAGCAGCGCATCTCAGTCGTTCTTCACACG